GAGGGACGGACGGATCGTCGCTCGAGGTTCTAGCATTCAGTGTTTTAGGATAGAAAGGGGACTCGCGCGAGTCTTGTGCGGAGGCCTTGTGCGGGAGGCATTATGCACTTTGTGCGGGGCTCTTGTGAACACCCTTTTTATTGGGTGCCCTTGGGATTGGTTCCGCGCGCTTGCTTATGCAGGAGAAGGGGGAGGCGCAGAACGGGCACGATATGTACGGTCCGTTTGAACAAGATTTCAGTTGTGCGCCTTGTGCGCCAGCGTTCTACGCTCCGGCACCCTCTCTATGCGAGATAGTCGCTCCCCAAAAGGAGTCGTGTTCCCCGTTGGGCCGCTGAAGGCCTTCAGGACCTCTAAAGGACTCTGGGCCCCCTGCACGATACCCCCGGAGACCCTCCGTAGGAACGCATTTTTTTTGTTATCCGTAAGAGCTTCGCCCCCTGCCGCCGGCCCCTATCTCGGATAATGCGCTATGCGAGAGCTATGTCATGAGGCCTGGGCGCCGTCGTGAAGCAGTATCGGAACTCCATGCGGGGCCGATTCGTAATCGGCTAATCGGCAAAACCAATTGACTTGTCTTGTGAGCCTGACCCCGCCGATCTGCGTGAGGGGTGCCACCGAATTTCAGAATTGTGGCAAATCCCCTGTGATCTGTGTGAGGGGCGCCACCGAATTTTAAAACATGTGGCCAATCCTTTATGTTTTTGGACCCTGACCCTGTCGATCCGCGTGAGGGGTGCCACCGAATTTCAGAAATGTTGAAATCCCTTGGGTTTTCGAAACCTGACCCCGCCGATCTGCGTGAGGGGTGCCATCGAATTTCAGAAATGTGGCAAATCTGCGTGAGGGGTGCCACTGGATGTCAGAAATGTGGCAAATCCTTTATGTTTTTGGACCCTGACCCCGCCGATCTGCGTGAGGGGTGCCAGCAAATTTCAGATATGTCGCAAATCCTATGTGTTTTTGCACCCTGACCCCGCCGATCTGCTTGAGGGGTGCCACCGAATGTCAGAAATGTCGCAAATCCTATGTGTTTTTTTGCACCCTGACCTCGCCGATCTGCGTGAGGGGTGCCACCGGATGTCAGAAATGTGGCAAATCCCATGTGTTTTTGGGCCCTGACCCCGCCGATCTGCGTGAGGGGTGTTAATTCTTTACGCTTCGCGTATCCCCACCAGCCCATCTCAAAACAGCAACTCTTGCGAAGCATGCCGACAGTCGTGTTTGTCAGGCGTGTTTCCGCCTGCCCCCGCATATCTCCCCTGTTCCTCCTTCCTCCCGCCTCCTTGTACATCCTCCTTGTGGTGGGAGCGGGAGAAGGACGAGGCGGAGGAGGAGGGAGAGAAAGCGCTCCTCGTGGTTTGAGTCGTTTGGGGTTTCTCGTCCTGGTGTGAGTCGTTCGGGCCCTTCTTCCTGGTGTGAGTCGTTCGGGCTCTTCGTGGTGTGAGTCGTTCGGGCTCTTCGTCCTGGTGTGAGTCGTTCGGGCTTCTCGTGGTGTGAGTTGTTCGGGCCCCTCGTCCTGGTGTGAGTCGTTCGGGCCCCTCCTCCTGGTGGGACTCGTTCGGGCTCCTCGTGGTGTGAGTCGTTCGGGGCCCTCGTCGTGGTGTGAGTCGTTCGGGCTCCTCGTGGTGTGAGTCGTTCGGGCGCCTCGTCCTGGTGTGAGTCTTTCGGGACCCTCCTCCTGGTGTGACTCGTTCGGGCTCCTCGTGGTGTGAGTCGTTGGAGGCGCGCGTCGTGGTGTGAGTCGTTCGGGCTCCTCGTGGTGTGAATGGGTCGGGCGCCTCGTCCTTGTAGGAGTCGTTCGGGGTCCTCCTTCTGGCGTGAGTCGTTCGGGTTCTTCGTGGTATGAGTCGTTCGGGCCCCTGGACCTGGTGTGAGTCGTTCGGGCTCCTCGTGGGGCCTCTTGGCGGCCTCTTGGAGCCTCTTGGGGCCTCTTGGGGGCCTCTTGGGGGCCTCTTGGGGGCCTCTTCGGGGCCTCCTGGGGCCTCTGGGGGCCTCTTGGGGACCTCTGGGGGGTCTCTTGGGGGCCTCTTGGGGCCTCTTGGGGGCCTCTTGGGGGCCTCTTGGAGGCCTCTTGGGAGGCTCCTGGGGGCCTCTTGGGGCCATCTTGGCGCTTCTTGCGACCTCCTCAGAAGCGCAAAGAAGCGCTGCCCCCTGAAAAGGACAACATGAAGCCAAAACCCTCGTAAAATCAATGATTTTGCTATGAAGGAAGATGAGCGCGGCCCCCTCGGGAGGCCAAAATGGGGCCAACACCCTCGTAAAAACAATGATTTTGGCTTAACAGAAGAGGAGGGGGCTACAAGAGCGTCCCCCCGTCGGAGCCAGAATCCTCGTGAGGGTCGTCGTTTTTTGGCCCTCCCAGGCGTCGAAAAAGACCACCCTGACGACCCGCGGGGTGCGCTCTCCAGGTCCAGGGGGAGGGGGTTAGGGGGAGGGGTAAACCCCTCCCCGAAGGGGAAGAAGGGGGGGTGGGGGGTTGAGAACAGAGAAAGCTCGCTAAACCACTCACGCCCAAAGGGCTGGTGGGATTTTTACCCACCCCAGCAATTCAGACACACGCTCAGGGCGTGCTAAACCTACCCGTTTTGGGCCTCCCCCCTCGCGCGGTCCATCAACAAGGAACAGTAAGCAGCAAGAAGCAGAACTGTAACAGTGGAAACTGGAAGCTGCAACTGGCACAGGAAACTGCGAAGCTTCGGCCTACAGCCTGGTGGCCCCACAAGGGGGCCGGCAGATTTAGACTCTGTCAAGTGCACTTGCATGGCATTCCCCCCCTGCTGCACTTTCAAACAGCGCTGGGCCGACAAGGCATGCAAGTCCTGATTTTCTGTCGGCCAGCCCTCTGGAGACGGAGGGCGGAGGAGCAGGGAGGATGGGCGCATCAGGAGGGGGGAGGAGGCCCGCCCTGGCGCCCTCTCGCTCGCGGAAGCGACCCCCAGCGCGCCTGCAGGGCTGCCCAGCCATGCCCCAGCAACAACGCAGCCAGGCGCCCAAACGTTGCACAGGCAGGACCAAAAGGTCTCTACGGACTGCGAGTCGCAGGATGCTGCACGAAGGGGGGGAAGGGATGCGAGAAGGAAGGGAGGGCAACAGAACGCTTCAGATCAGAGCGCGCACGGGAAAACACGCAGCCCACACGCAGCCCGCTGCTCATTATTCCCAGGCCCCCGAGTTCGTGATTCCAACGTGTACCCCTGGAGGTCTCGAATCCTTCCCTGGAACCGGCTCTTCATCCCGAATTCTTTTTTTGGCGGCGCTTGGGCTGGGTGAGGGCACTCGAAGGCCGAAAACGGCTACATTGTCGCGGTTCGCTTTACGTCGCGAGGATGCTTGGTCTAGAGTTTCCTTTGTCGCCCAACGTTCGGCCAGCCGTCTGGAGGGGGGTGGGGAAGAGGGGCGGAGGAGGTGGAGGCTCCAGAGGTGAAGGAGGATGCTCCGCCACCTCCTCCCCATTCCTCCTCTGTGCTCTGAGATTCCTGGGGCGCGCTTTGGTTGGAGTTTCGGAGGGGAGTCCAGCTGTGGCGGCGAGAAGCCTCCAGGGGGGTTGAGCGGAATGGGCCCAGAAAGAGCGGCAGCACCAAGCGACCTTGACCGTCGAATCTCAAGTTCGAAGATTTCTGAACGGCCCAACGTGGACCCCCCCCCCCGGCTGGCGGCTGGCCGGAAGGCCGACCCGAGGATGAGGAGGAGGAGGAGGAAGAGGAGGAGAACGAGAAGGAGGCGGAGGAGGAGAAGGAGGCGGAGGAGGAGGAGGAGGAGGAGGAGGGGGAGGAGGAGGAGGAGGAGGAGGAGGAGGAGGAGGAGGAGGAGGTGCGAGGAGCGAGGATGAGCGAGGAGGAGGAGGGAGGCGAGGAGCGGGGAGGAGCGAGGAGGCGGAGGAAGAGCGATGAGTGGAGGAGGAGCGAGGTATCGGGAAGGCGGAGGACGGTGAGGACTATGAGAGAAGGAGTGGGCAGGAGGAGAGGGAGAGCAGGACGGAGGCGAGGAGGAGGGAAGGCGGAGGGGAAGTAGGAGGAGGAGGAGGAGGAGGAGGAGCGTCGTCGTCGAACGATGAGATGGCAAGTTCGCCGACCTCAATAATAACTCTAACGCTGGGAAGCTCAATGATAGAGAAATAAAACCGGCCAGCGAGAGAAAAAGGGGTAACAACATTATCCGAGTAAGAGGGTGTGGTAGGACTCCTGCACGGGGTCGGCAAAGGAGCCTGCGCACGCCGACCTCGGAGGGGGGCGAACAACAACGGAGGAGGAGGAGGAGGAGAGGTGGAGTATGATGAGGGATGAGGAGGGGAAGGAGGAGGAGAAGAGCGAGGAGGAAAAAACAAAAAGCGAGGAGGAGCGGGGACAGCGATGCTGTTCTTCCTCGCCCCCTGTCTCCTCGCATACTCCTTTCTCCTCGCCGTGCTGCTGCTCTCCCCTCCTCCTCCTCCTCCTCCTCCTCCTCCTCCTCCTCCTCCTCCTTCGATTTCTGTTCCTGCTCGATGTCCGCCTCCGTCGTCTCCCACTTGGGGTCCTCCGCCCACCTCGTGCTACTCTTACTCCTTCCTCATCGCCCTCTTTGTTGTTCCTGTCCACCTCGATATCCTTCTCCCTCGCCGTCCAGTCGGAAGCCTCCTTCCTCCTCACCCTCCTCCTTCTCCCCATCCTTCCTTTTCGCTCTCCTCCTCAATTTCCTTTTCCTTCGTCGCCAAGCTGGGACCCTCCTTTCTCCTCGCCCTCCTCCTTCTCCTCCTCCTCCTCCCCCTCCTCCTCCTCCTCCTTCTCCTACCCCTCATATCTTCCCTCCTCGCCCTCCTTCTCCTCCATCCTCCTCCTCCTCCTTTTTCCTCCCCGACTCCTCCCTCCTCATCCTCCTCCTCCTCCTCCTCCTCCTCCTCTCCTCGATCCGCCGCTCCGCGCTCCTCCTCCTCCTCCTCCTCCTCCTCCTCCTCCTCCTCCTCCTCCTCCTCGCTTTCGCCCTCCTCCCCTCGGCGAGCCCGCGCCCCGAGCCCCGGCCAGGCCGCCCCAGGCGCCCCAAGCGCGCCCGCCGCCGCCCAGCGCGAGGTGCCGGCGGCGCACGGCGAGGGCCCGCAGGACGGCAGCGCTGCTCCGGGCGGTCGGCCGAGGCCGGCGTCGACGACAGGCTCGAGGCTCGAGGCTCGAGGCGTTCAGGTTCGAGGCTCGAGGCTCGATGCTCGAGGTTCGAGGCTCGAGGCTCGAGGCTCGAGGTTCGGGTCAGGCTCGAGGCTCGAGGCTCGAGGCTCGAGGTGTTCAGGTTCTCTCGTCGAGGCTCGAGGTTCGGGTCCGGCGACGCATCGCCCCGTGCTGGGAGGTCAGGGGCAACCAAAGGAGGAGCAGGAGGAGGAGGAGGACTAGGAGGAGGAGGAGGAGGAGGAGGAGACCCCCCCCTCGGTGCGGGTGAGGCCCCAGACGCTCCGAGCTGGGAGGTCAGGGGCAAGGACAGGCGGTGGGGGGGTGGCCGGGGGCAGCGTAGTTCGGCGCTCCAGATCTTCGATCGCTTTCGTGGGTTCTCTGCGGTTTTCTAGCTTCGGGGTGCCCTCCCGCAGCCGCGCCCCGCCGAGCGGCGGCCAGGGGTGCCCGAATCGTGCCGAACGGCCGCCAGGGACCCCCGAGTGATGACCGGCCGATCGTTCGGGGCGGTCGTCGCCGCCGACGTCGACCGACGTCGGCCTCAGCAGAGGAAGAGGCAAGGATGTTGCCACCATTTCCTCGATTTCGGCTTTCTCGGGAGGCCCTCGTCGCCACGGCTGGATTCGCCTCGATTTTTTGGTCTGAGCGCACCCTGGGAAAGGCCCTGGGAGAGCGGTAGCGGTACCTTTCTCTCGCTCCAGTCGTCATCGGTCGACGTCGGTCATCGTCGACGTCGGCCGTTGCCGTCGTCGTCGTCGTCGTCGTCGTCGTCGTCGTCGTCGTCGTCGTCGTCGTCGTCGTCGTCGTCGTCGGTCGTCCGTCGTCCGTCGTCCGTCGTCCGTCGTCCGTCGTCCGTCGTCCGTCGTCCGTCGTCCGTCGTCCGTCGTCCGTCGTCCGTACGTCGTCGTCGTCGTCCGTCGGGCGTCGTCGTCGTCGTCGTCGTCGTCCGTCGTCGTCATCTTATTGTCCGTTTGTCCGTCGTCGTCGTCGTCGTCGTCGTCGTCGTCGTCGTCGTCTTCGTCTTCGTCTTCGCTCTTCTCCTTTGCGCGCCTTTGCGAAGACTCGTGCTCAGTCGCACCGCGCTCTCGTGGGGGTCTTCTTGGTCCGTCTCTGGGCGCGTCGTGCTTCCGCCCTCTGTCTCCTCCATCTCCTCCCAGGCCGTCCTCCCAGGCCGTCCTCCTCCTCATCATCCTCCTACACCGACGAGAATTCCAAGGAAAAAACATCAATCGTCATGGACTCCAGATTTAGCTCGAAAAAAGCAAGAACGTTTGCTTTGTCCTGGGAGTTTTGAAGAGAGTTAAGTTAGAGATAGTAGTTAGAGTTTTCTCCAAGTAAAATAAGTTAAAGTAATTTCAAGTTGAGCTAGTAAAGTTAGAAGTTATAGTTCAGTTAAGAAGAAGAGAAGTTTATTATGAGTTAGTAAGTTAGGTTCAGTAGAGAGTTAGTTGCTGGAGTAGAGATAGTAGTTAGAGTAGTATAAGTGAGGTAGAGAGTTAGTGTTACAGTTTAGTTAGTTCATGAATAGTTATGAAGTTCGTAGAAAGTAGTTAGAGAGTGTTAGTAGTTAGTTATAGATGATAGTAGTTCAGTGTTTAGTTTAGAGTTAGTTTTAGCTTTAGTAGTAAAGTTTAGAGACAAGTAGTTAGTTTTATGTTTAGTTTTTAAGAGTAGTTTTAGTTAGTTAGAGTTAACAGTTAAGAGTTATAAGAGGTCGAGTTAGAGTTATGAGTAGTTTGAGAGTGTTATTGTTAGTAAGTAGTAATTTGAGTTTTAGAGTAGAGAGAGTTTTAAAGTTTAGTAGAAGTTTTAGTTAGAGTTTAAGTTACAGTTAGAGTTAATGTTAGAGTTTAGTAGTTCAGAAGTAGTTAGTAGTTTTGTTAGTAGGGAGTCATGATTGAGTATAGTTAGTTACGAGTTAGGAGTTATTAGTTTGAGTGAGAGTTTTCTTGCAGCTCTCTTCGTTGGAAAGTTGGTGTATTCGGACCTGTGCTACTGTTTAAAAAATGCTTGGGGCGACGTCCATTTCGTGAACTGAGAACTCTCTTGACTCTTGACTCTAAGCAGGGCTGTACTCCGAGAAGTCGAGACGACACACGCGCCTACACCAACACCAATTGACTTCCCCTCCTTTCCTCCTAGCTTTTATTATGTCTTGCATCGCATGTGTCCAGACGCCAGAACCCAGAGGCCACGGCCTCACTCACTTAATCTGAGCTAGGCCCAGACGTATCTCCGCAGCGGTGGTCGTTCCGTTCTGTTCCGTTCAGGCACTCCTCCTGGAGCCCCGCGTGCGGCTCAGAAATGGCTAAACGCCCTCCCGAGATTTATTTTGGCGTCTTTCCTTTTCGGGCCGGGCTTTCCCGCCCAGCTTCGGGCGCCAGGACCCCCACAGACCGATGTGGCAACGACGCAGGAAGTTCACGATGTTTCATGTTTTGCGCTCCGTGAGGAGCGAACAGATCTCAGCCCACCTCGGCAGGGCGTGGGCCGGAGGACCCCCACAGACCGATGTGGCAACGAGGGTCTGGGTCTCTGGTTGTGATGTTTCACGATGTTTCGTGTTTTTCGCTCGGTCGGACCCCAGGGACGGGCCTCCGGCCACACACCGCACACCGCCTTTGCCTCCTCCTCCTCCTCCTCCTCCTCCTCCTCCTCCTCCTCCTCTTCCCCCTGGCGCTGATACGCTCTTGGGATCAGTTCGTCTCTCTCCATACGCTATCCCTGAAGCTCGCGGCGGACAGAGTGACGAGTCGATCGGCAGGATGATCGTCACGTCCTCCTCCTCCTCCTCCTCCTCCTCCTCCTCCTCCTCCTCCTCCTCCTCCCAGAAGAGCTGCGCCTGCGGGCCCATGTTTTTCTCTGTGGGGCCGGCCTCGGGGCCCAGTGCTTCCAGCAAGCGGAAAGCTGACCGCCTTATCCGAAGCCGTTTCATTTGGACGAGTTGATCCGAGACGAGGCTATCCGGACGAGCTCGTCCGAAGACGAGCTCACCCGAAGACGAGATCATCCGAAGACCAGGTCAGCAGCCAACAAGTGCACCCTGGCGAGTTTACCTGGGCAACTTCGTCCAGACGCGTTCCTCCCGAAGACAGTTCTTCTGGATGAGTTTGTCATGGGAGAAATCCGTCAGAATGAACTGTTCGTTCTCCAAAGCACGGCGCGGGGCACCAGAAGCCAGCCCTGGGGAAGTGGGAGGTGGTAAAACTACAGAGAGGCCAGGGTCCGCGATCTTCGACAAAAGCCGAGCCGACCGATCTGGGTCGATATCGGTTGCGGCCAGCCCGATCCGATTTGGTTCCACCCCAGCGGTCCGATACGGCCCGATGCCTGGGTGGCATCGTTGGGCATCCTTGCGCAGCCAGTCTGGTTCGATTCCGACTCCGTACGGATCCGCCCCGATCCGACGTATATTTTAGTTCGATCCGACTTTCCAGTCCGAAGTTGACGGTCCCTGCCGCCTCCTTCTCCTGGTCTTACCCCTTTCCTGGCGAGCGATCGGGTAACTGCCATTTCTTTCTTGACGGAGGGGGGCGGAGGGCCCGCGGAAGTTGGCGGAAGTAAAACTCAGGAGGCCCCTTCAAAAACGGAGGCGGCCCCGCTGTCGGAAGCTGGCGGAGGTAAGCATTGGCCCTCCGAGAGTCGACTAATTACGCCTAAGAGTGGCCCTTCGCCGGAGTGGCCTCTGGTGCGGGCTCAAAATAGCGTCCCCCGATCGTCGAAGCAGGTGCGACGGCAGCGGCCTGCGCGCCTGGGTCTAGGCCCTCCGCGCCTCCCTGCAAGCCGCGTGCGGAAGCTCACTCCTGCTCCGGGTCCCTCCTGCGTGTCCCCGACAGAGGTTTCGCACTCTTGGACGAGACTACTCCTGGAGCCCACTGCAGAGTATGCTGTCACAAGACGGACCGGACCCGATGCCCCGCCGGAGTCGGATCCCCCCCTTGGGGGACTGTGGTCTCCCCCACGTTTCCAGAGGAGTCTGAACCCATCGCGTCGCCTGGTGAGGTGGGTCCGGTCTTGCCCGTGTGGCCAGCACTCAACTACCCTGAGATCCGACGGCTCGAAAACATTGAGACATCGCGAACGATTACGACTGAAGCCCTGAACCCCATTTTTCTGTGCCATTTTTCGAGCTAGAGCAGTCTGTGATGGTACTGGGCACCGAATATGGGCGAGAACGCCCAGCTCGAAAAAGTTGAGACGGCAGGATATCAGGGTAGCACCGCCCTGGAATCCTCGAGCAAATGTACTGGGCCGTCTCTGAGCCCCGTTGGGGCTGTGTTATAGGCAGGCCCAGGTCCCTGGTGCTCCGTGGCGCGGGGCGCGGGACGCCCCCCAAAGCAGCGCGGATATTCCCAGAAGCCCCTGGGAGGATGGGGTCTGGGGCCCTGCAGAGTATACCAGGCAGTTGTGTACGTATGCGGCGTTCCAGAAAGGGCCTCGCCTTCGAGGATCGAGGGAGTTGGCGTCCCTTCCTCGGCGGAAGGCGGCAGAAGGGCGGCGTAAGCCGGCGGAAGAGAAACGAGGCCGCCTCGGCCGGCGGAAGCCGGCAGAAAGAAACTTTGCCTCCCAAGAGGTGGCAAGGCTTTTTGGTTCAGGCTTTCCAGAACCCGCCAAAATGACGTGGCCGGCTCGGGCGAGAGGTGGAACGACCTGTGTCCGCATGTCTTTCCAGTGCTCCGCCCCTCGACTTAGTGGACTAGGACGGTAGAACATAGTTTTTCCCGCCGTCGTGGGCGCCTGGTCAAGGGCGGCAGGCAAGCTTACACCCCGACGTGCCACCGCAGGGCTAGGAGCTTTCTGGCCACCCTGGGGCAGGCGTCCCCAACGGCGGAAGAACATGTTATACCTTCACTCGTCCGCACGGCGCTCGTCCGACTTTGCGTCGCCGCAGATCTGGTGGGGCGAGGTTAGGGCAAGCGGGCAGTGGGAGTTCGTAAGGGCCCGTCCCACCCGGCACGCGCGGGCACGCCCGCGATCGCCCCCGCTCCCGGGCTCATTTCGACCCCTCCGACCCGATTCGATTCGATTTCGATGGCATCCGATTCCGCTTCGACTCGGCTTCGGATTCCGATGTCGACTCCGACTTTTCAATGAAGGCCTACGAGCCTGCCGATTTCCGCCGATTCCAATTCTCCCGACTCGGCAGCCGATTCCCGCCGATCGGATTCGGTTCGATCGCCGGTCCGACTGAACTATCGATTCGATTCTGGGCTCTCCTGCTTCTCTCTCTCTTGTCCGCTGCCGTGGGGCTCTCGGGTCCCCGCGCCGCACCCGCGGGGAATACCTCCGCCGGCGATCCCGGAGGAGGGCGAGTGCGTGCAGGAGATAGTGTACTGCCTCCTGGACGCGAAGGGCGGCGCGGCCTCCACCCAGGCGGTGCAGGTGGCCATCAACGCCTCCGTGATCCAGGCACCGCCCTCTTTCTCCTCGTCCTCTGTACTTTGCCCTTCTCCCCCTCATCCTCGTCGATCTTGTCCTGCTCCTCCTCCTCCTCCTCCTCCTCCTCCTCCTTGCCGTCCGTCTCCTTCGACCTCCTGTCGATCAAAATTTGGGAGTCTGCTTGAATTTTCGGGCCTCTAGTGTTTGGGCCTCCAGTTGTTGTTTCACCCCCACGGCTGGATTCCCAGTGAAGCATTTGCCAGAACGCACCTTGGAGAGGTCCACGGGTGAAAGGCTAAGCCTTGTAGCGCACCTGTTCATGTTCGTGTTCCTTTTCAGGAATTGTCATCGCGGTTTGCCTGTTGCAATACAGGGCTGCCTCGATATTTCCAAGCATCTCTTGACCGCGGCCCTGGTATGACATGATGTGTTGCGCAACGCGTTGCGTGCTGAACAATGTTGTGTTGAGCTATCTTTCGCTGCTACGATACGTGCAGCGTCATGGCATGATATGCTCTGTTGTGCCAAGTACTCCCATGCTACACCATGTCATGGCAACCGATGCTATACTACCCAATGGCATGCAACGTTGCGGTGCCATGATAGGTTAAGCGATGTTATGCTATGCAAAGCGGCGGATGCTTTGCATTCGAGTATGTTGCAAGTCATCGCATGTGATGCCCCGATTGGGGTCGCGCAGTGGTCAAGAACAACCCAGGGCTGGGGGCTTGTAGGAGATCACCTGTCCTGGCCAGGCCGTCTTGGGCCCGAGATCGGGGCGCATAGGTGTGCCTGCCTGGCCAAGCCAAGATGGCGCACACACCGATCCTAGGCAAGCATCCGTAACAGTTGGCACCCTGGAGGGCACCCCTACTTTATAATCCGTGTTGTGGACTTTCCTGGGGCCCACCTAATGGACATGTTCGAGTCCTAGATCGACTCTTCGATCGATTCTTAGATCGATTGGCTAGACTCAAGGTCGACTCAAGTTCCACTCAAGTCGACGGACGTTCGACGCAGCATCGACGCATGAGTAGAGAGAGTGGCTCCAGGAAGATTCCCAGAGCAGGCATCTTCGCCGCAGTCCCTACCGCCAGGTCGCCAAGAGGACGCACACGCCGATCCTGGGCCGGTCTCTGCAACAGGTCGCGAGACATGCGAGCCCTGGATCCCATCTGTCCGCCGCATGTCTCGAGATGGATCGATACGTGAGGGTCCCAGTCCGCGACACTGGGCGCGCGCGTCCGGTGTGGAGAAAGTGCAGCACCCGAGCCTGGGTCTCAGGGGGCAGCGCCGCGGTCACCACCGCCAGGTCGCCAAGGCCAATTTCCCGCTAGTCGTCACCTCCATCTTCTCCTTCCTGGAGAACAGGCGCGGCCCCGGGCGTGGGAGCCTCCGCAGCCGCCAGTGGCACACCTGCTCGTTCCTCGCCCGTCAGTCTCCCTTCTCCTTAGGAATAGGATGACGGTGATGATGATGATGATGAGGATTATGAGCATTATGAGGACCATCAGGATGATGATGTTGTTGATGATGCTGATGCTTATGATGATATTTAGGAGGATGGTGGTGATGATGATAGTGGTGATGATGATGATGATGATGATGATGATGATGATGATGATGATGATGATGATGACGAGAAGGAGGAGGCTGTGGATGTTGAGGGTGATGATGATGCGGATGAGGATGATGCTGAGGATGATGATATGGTGGTGACGATATTGACAATGATGATGCTGCTGATGATGATGACGATGATGATGATGATGATGATGGTGACGATAACGATGATGACGACGATGATGAAGATGGTGATTAATATGAAGATGATGATGCTGATGATGATGATGGTGATGACATGATGATGGTGAGTATGATGATGATGATGATGATGAAGAAGATGATAAGGATGATGAGGATGAGGATGCGGATAAGTATCGTGATATTGATGCTGATGCTGATTCAGCCGATGATGATGACGAAGCTCATGATGTGGATTGTGTTAAATTTGATGATGATTTTGATGATGCTGGTGATCATGGTGACGATGATGATGCTGATGATGGTGGTGGTGATGATGATGCCGACCAGGATGATGATGAGGATAAGTGTGAGGATAGTGACGATGAGGATGAGGATGAGGATGAGGATGGGATGCTGGTGGTGATGGGAATGGTGATCGTGGTAGTTGTAGTGATGAGGACAATGATGATACTACTAATGATAGCCATGATTCTGCTGCGGATGATGCTGGTGCTGATGTTGATGCTGATGACGACTACGACGACGACGATGATGATGATGCTGCTGATGCTGAACATGATGATGAGTATGAGGATGAGGATGACGATGCTGATGATGATGATGCCGATGATGTTCATGCGGATGCTGATGATGATGATGCTTATGCTGCCGCTGAAGAAGAAGATGATGATGACGACGCCGACGACGATGCTCACGATGATGATGCTGCTATTAATGACGATTATGATGATGCTGTTGATGATGGTGATGATGCTGATGATGTTGATGATGCTGATGATGATGATGATGGTGATGGTGATGATGATGATGATGATGATGATGATGATGATGATGATGATGATGATGATGACTCTGATGCTGGTACTGATGCTGCTGCTTGTGCTGATCATGATAATGCTGATGACCCAGGCATGCTCCCGTCGCGTCGTTTTCGGCCTGCGGGGGCCCTCGCTGGGCCGCGGGACCGTCAAAGAGCGACCCCAGATGAACAACCGTCCCTGGGAAAGGGTCGGAATTTTTGGGGCCTACGTAATCATGTTTGGGTCCTCGTCCCTGTAGACAGCTCCGCATTACCAGGCGTTTCGGTGAGGGGGGAGTTTCTCCTGAGTCTCCTCGATCCCCGAGCGTCACGCTTGCCAACAGATGCCCGGCCGGAAGGCGGGGCCGTTCTCAAATCCGCGCTCGCATTTGAAAACCCTTCGCACTGTTCCCCGAAGGCTCTCTAAATGAAAGTAGAGTGGCGCAGCGGTCTTACATTGCCCCTGGGTGCATGGCTGAAGTCGGGTTCCCTACTGACATGGTGGAACATCAGGGTGCAGTGGCTCTGCGCGGAGGAATGTATCTACAGACGTACAAGTGCAAGGACACTTGCAGCGCTGCCTTTGCTCACGCGGAGGTCTCCGACTTGAGTCCAACATCCCTGCGCTACAACACTCCTGAAGTCCACACACCTACACCAAGTGGTATTTCTTCGAAGATACGATGCGTGGCAACATGCGATACGACATCGTGCCGCTTCCACCCCCACGTAAGCTGACGGCAACGTCTTTTCAGCCACAAACTACCGACTACGACCTACGAGGCCATTGGATTGGTATTACCGTATTTGGCCTCCTGTGGGTCTCTATCGGATGTGCTGTTGGACACATGCAGCGTGGTGGAGACGACACACGTAGTACCGAGCGCCATGAGGAGTCGAGACACTGTTTACAGTGCCTCGAACCAGGTACTGGTACCAAGGATGCACTCAGAGCCTTCTCACTGACGGTCAGGAAGACCACGGGAGGGTTTGGTCTTAAACCCACGTCCTACGACGAGGAGTTCGAGACAAGCTCTAATCTTCTCACGCCAGTCATGTCGGTGACATAAACATGGCTGGTACTGAGGACGCGATCGACAAATGCGTCAAGTGTGTTGAGGACACTTACGGTAAAAGTGAACTCAACAAACACACATATACCACTTGCGCCGTGAGATACACCAAGGGCGGCGTTGGTAATGTTTCACTTGGTCAAAACGAATACATAAATCAGCTCAGTCCTATCCAGCATCATGAACTCACGGGCGCAGATGCTAAGGCCAAGGCATCGAAGATGGTTACCGACATGTTTGTCAGCCTCAGAGGCGTTTTGGCTTACGCCCTGATCTCACATGTGTGGTTAATGGTATATGTGTCACTACAGCGTGTCCAAGACCCGGCCGACATGCAAGTGCGACGACTGAGCGCGATTACCAGGAAGTTGCAGGTGTGCCCCAAAAAGATCGTCTATCAAGCGATGACTCCAACGGGCGAGGTCGACCTGCACAGCGACTCCTGCTACCGGCGTCTGAACGGAGATGCCGTTGAGGAAGTCAAAGGCTACGGCATCCGCGGGCAAAACCTACTAAGGCGTGGACACACGCATGCTGATAAGCCCGTCGTCCATGTTGTCGACGCGCACTGCAAGTCTCATCGCTTGCAGGTCCGCTCGAGCTACGCAGCGGAAACACTTTGCAGCAACCCACAATTTGAAGGGCCGCTATCCCACGATCGTCACTTTACACGAACTCCACGCAGGGCCGCTGACACCCACTCAATCAAAGGATATACTTGAGATGGGCGGCCTGAAAATTAAAGTCACTTTGACCATCGGTGCAGAATATGTCTTCAAGTCCTTGTCAAGCAAAGGCCTGAAGAAACCGAGTGTACAGTTTCGGGACACATCAGTTTGATACGACAAATCATGGAGCAAGGTATCGTGCATTGCGTGCAATGGTGTGACACTCGCGATATGAGTGCAGACGGCCACACCAAAGGGAACATCGACAGAGACATGCTCCTACAAGTTTCGCCCGGACAGAACACCTGGGCGACACAACCCGAAGGGGGGTGCCCAAGGTGCCTGCATGAATTCACATGCAGTCAGACCTCGCAACACGAACGGCGGCACGGACCCGCCCCATTATCCGCGCCGCCGTTGCGAGGTGCCTCGAGATGCCACCCCGAGACACGGCCACCGGCACCACCCCCACTTGGCCGCCGGCCTCGAGCAGCGGAGGCTCCGCTGCCCAAGGACTGAAGTTCCCGCGCCCCCCACGTCGGGGGACCCCTTCGAGTAACCCCATCGGGCCTCTCAGGGGTGGTACGGCGGGCCCGCACCTACTGTGGCTGGCCAACCACAGGACAAGAGTCTCTCCCACAGCCCCGTCGAACTGTGGTGGCGATCGGGCTGCCAACCCGCCTGTGTTCCTGGGACGCCACGAGGGCACCCAGCGGCACAGGTGCCACATGCTCCTACAAGTCATGGGAGGAACGCGAAGCTTCAAGCATGACCTTAAACGACACAATGCATACAGGGCTGGCCAAACAAGATCGTCTGAACCGCCTGAGGAGTAGTTATTTGCAGGGCAATTCGCCTGCGAGGTAACTTGCGTGCAAGGTAACTTGCATGCGGGTCAACTTGCCTTGTTGAACCCGCCTGCTGCTGCCTACCTTGTGTATTCTATCGTTTTGCTGTATAGGTGGCGGCGGACTCACGCTTCGTTTCCCCCCCCGACTCCAAAGGAGGTTGGGCGAAAGGCGAGAGGTAGCGAGCGTTTGTCCACCGCCGTTTGTGCTCAAGCGGCCAGCCGCCAACATATGACTGCGCCTCATCGCGAGGCACACGACTTGCCATCGAGACCGAAAACATCTTCGCTTGACGTGGTTCGTCGCTCCCACGACTCTCTCGTGCTCTTGGGACTATCGCTGCTACGGTATAGCAGAGTTGGATACGGGCTTCGCCTTGGACGAAGCAAATGGTTGGGCCTCCCAACCCCCTTCAAACTCAAGTTTCACTCCCACAGCCCGAAAACCCGCAGCACCTCGACACGCCCTCCCTCGCCCGCTCTTCCCGAGGCCTCACCTGTCCTTGGCTCCTCCTCGGCAAGCGGCGGGGTCGCTGGAGGGGGAGCGGGGTGAGCCTCGGCCTGCTCCTCCAGAGCGGTGCGCAGCAGCGGCAGCACACCGTGAGGCTTGTCGAGCTTGAGGCCCCTGACGCGCACACGGTACGATGGGAACCCACCCTTACGAATTCGTCTCATTGGTCTTCGGCCGCCGCCTGATCAGCTTTTCGGGGCCTGGGGTCAGCTTGCTGTCCGATCAAACGGTGCCGCACCTGCAACATAACAAAATCGAGGAAACGGGAGAGGCACGACCTAACACATCAACCCGCAACAACGTGTGGCCCCGCCAGCAAAAGGAAACACTCACATACTTGTCCAATCCCTCACCAACCCGGTACTTGGACTGGTGCGACTGAGCAGGAACTTCTGACCCTTGACCTGACGGGCGATTGCACTGGTCGTCTCAGGGCTCTAGATTCCACAACTTCGGCCTCAGGGTCTTTCGAGCGCCAATAAGCCTCCATCGGGCTTTTACGGTCTAGCTCTTCCGAATTTATGTGCACGGTGGCGGCCCAACGGGCCGTTTCAGCAGCGAGCTCCGTGAACCCGCGCCGAGGTTCATACAGGTCCGTACCTACTCCGTGCAAGGTCGCACCCTGCTTCGCCAGGCGGTCCGGGTGGGCATTCTTTTTGAGATCCCGCGCCGTGGCTTGCCCCGCGTAGACCTGAGCCTGGGTGCAGTGGTGCTTGGTTATAAAGACTTGGAAGTCGTCCCCGGTGAGCGCTCCCCAGAACGGGCTCCAAAGATGGGCCCTGGCGAAATTTCTTGAAGTCCCTGCACCAGCGCCCATGCGCAGAGCCCCAGCAGTGCCTGCACAGTCGACGGGGCCCAGGTACAGAAACGCAGCATCGAGATCGTGTATTTTGTCGCGTCTCCAGCTGTCTGCTCGGGGCACATGTTGCGCGGTAGTGGCCCATGCGCGGCAGCTGCTGTATCCCCGAACCCGCTTGTCTGGACGATCGGCCAAAACGCTCGAGCCACAAGCGGCACGGGGCGGCCCACAGGGCCGAGCCATCAGTAGAGAGCGTGCGTTCGCAGAAGCCCCAGGGCAGGACGGCTGTGCCAGTGGATGGTCTGCTCGGGCTCCACGGGCCCGGGAGCCGGGGAGGACCAACTCGGGCGACGGGAGCCGACCAGGAGCGAACTTGTGGCCCATCGCGAAGCCCCGCCCACGCACCCTGGCGGCCCTCACCTTGTGAAGCCTACTGACATTCTCACGGCGGAGTACATCATGTTTTGGGCAGCTGCAAGCGTGGTGCCAGAGCGACCCGTCGGGCCCCCCACACACGCAGCAAGCAGGGGAGCTCGCGAGCGCATGCTGATGTCGCCGAACTTGCGGCCAGTGCCCTCTAGAAAGCAGCGAACGCAACGTCCTCTGATATCGTTCCTTCCAGATCTTCTGCTTGTCCGAGGCTTTTGCCGCATCTTCTTCTGCCAGTTGCTGGACTTGCAGCGGTGGCACGTGACGGAGGTCGAACATCAATGGAGCGACACGCTGCCTATCTGCTACAAGACGAGCATCAGGGAGCAGCGACCATCCGACTGTCTGGAATTTCAGCACGGCAACTTCTGCAGGCGACGCAGCCGTTGACCACGGCGATCGAGGAGGGAGGAAGAGAATGGCAGGGCTACGACGAGGAGGTATAGAAAGGAAAGGGGACGAGGGCGCTTGGGACGGAGACACTTGCCAAGGAGGAGGAGGGAGGAGGGAGGAGGGATCAAGAGGAAGGACAATTAGGAGGAAGGAGCAAGGGAGGAGGCAGGAGGACGAGGAGGTAGAAGGACGGCCACCAGGTAGGAGCGAGGACGGAGGAGGAATGAGGACGTAGGAGGAGGGAGAAGGGAGGAGGGCGTAAGAGAAGGGAAGGGCTGGGACGAGGAGGCAGAGGAAGCAGAGGGGAGTGGGCCCGCTTACCGCTTGCCTGTACGTGTGCCGTCGTCGCCCATCTTCGTGGCTGCCGCCGTGGTTGTCGTCGTAGCTGTCGTTCACTCGGACCCACTCCCACACCCGGACGCTCACAGCGGAAAGCGCCAGCGAACGAGATGGAACGATTGGGGATCTCTGCGTCGCGTCAGTTCATTACGGGACCCCGCAGAGCCCCGACGATGTCCCCCCTGGGCGGGCTTTGCACACCGCGTCGTCTCTTGACGGCCCCGGGGTCCGGCGGGGGCCCCCGGAAGTCGAGGACGGCCCAGAACGGTCCGCCGAGCTTTCGGTCACGACGCGAGCACGTCTGGCCCCCTGCGGCGGGGGGCGCTCGTGCAGGAGTGCGCCCAGGATCCGACGACGGCATCTACACCATCCTAGGGCCCGGGATGGCCCTGGCCTGGCACGGTGGTGGTGTATAGATGCCTTCTGCTCACAGGACGCTTCGGACCCTGGGGGGGAACTCCTCACCCGATGACCAGGTGCATCAGGCGACATCCGTGGCCAATCCACGCTTGGAGTTTCCTCCGCGTCCGAGCCCAGGCGCGCGCTGTCTCTTGATATACTCCAGGCGCGGTCTCCGGACGTCCCGAGCCTTTCCCCCGGGGCCAGCGTTTCATCCCGAGCAGTTTTTGTGGACGGTCCTGGAGCCCGGCGGGCCTTCCTGGAGGCCGAAAATCAGGAGCGAAAAAAGGACGTACACGTACATGAATCCACGCTGGTTTCGAGAGTACGCATTGCGCAAATGTTCGTATAACGCGGCCAGTCTCGCGGATCGAGGGGCCGTGTTCATGTACATAGCTGGGCGCGTACGTCCTTTGTGGGCTCCCTAGAAAAGGGCTCAGAGCATTCCGTCGAGTTTTGCTTTGTTCAAGACGCGAGCACGTCTGGGCCCCTGAGGTCTGGGCGCTCGTGCAGGAATGTGCCCCGGACGCTTCGGACCCTGGAGGGTTCCTTATCTGGTGCGTCGGGTGAAGTCGATGGCCGATCCGCGATTGGAGTGCCATCCGCTTCCAGGCCGTGGATTCTTTTGTCCAAGGGTTCCTTATCCAGCGCCTCACCGTATGTGCCCGTGCAGTTTCTGTTGGCCTTCTGCCCCAGAGATGAGGGTAGGGAGGGGCGAGGGAGGGAGGGAGGGAGGCAAAGGAGGAGGAGGAGGAGGAGGAGGAGGAGGAGGAGGAGGAGGAGGAGGAGGAGGGTTCCTTATCCAATGCCCTCACCGTGTCATTGGCCCTCAACCCCACAGGGCCCGGGGTACGTTCTGACCAACATTTCGAAGCAAGTCTGGCCGTGGCGATGAAGGAAAGGTAGAGGCAACGGTGAATCTCCCTCCTCTGACCTCCCGCCTCCCTCCCTCCCTCCCTTTCTCCTTCCTCCCTCGCCGGTGCCCGGGCCCGCCCCTGGACCGTCCCTCCTCGCCGGTGCCCGGGCCCCCCGCCGCCGGCGGGAGGCAGAGCTCGGAGCTGCACCAGCTGTGGCTCCTCCGCCTGCTGCGCCGGGCTCGGCCGCAGGCCTCCTGGGCGGTGGCGATCTCGCGCGCGGGGGCGGCGACAGCTTCGATCGGATCGAGGAGCGAGGGTCGGAGATGGAGGGCTCGAGGGGTCGAGGGATCGAGGGATCGAGGGATCGAGGGATCGAGGGATCGAGGGTTCGAGGGATCGAGGGATCGAGGGATCGAGGAGTCGAGGGGTCTCGAGGGGTCGGCGCGGGGGCACCAGGATGGCTCGAGGCAGGAGGGAGGAGCGGGGCCGCGGATCGAAGAGCCCTTGGGCGAGCTCGGCCCCGCCCAGGCCTCCCCAGATGGGGGTCCGGGCAGGGGGGGTCAGAGAGAGAGGGCCGCTCTGCGGCGCCGCGGCTCGATGTGCAGCCCGATGTTGTCCACGCCGACGCCGGCGAGGCATTCCAGGCGTCGGCCATGCATCGCCGATGCATCGCCGATGCGGCGCGAGCCTCCGATCCCATCTACGCCCCTATCCAAAACGGCATAATTACACATGAACTGTTGACGGTCCGCGCAGAGTTCTTGGGTTCGCGCTCGGCCCCCCTCTCTGGCGTGCGAGCCGCCGAACATTGATGTGCTATGCTTCTGCCTTCTTTTCTGCCTCTGTTCGAGGCTGGGATTTCGGTCAGGAGCTTTTGCTAAGCGTGTCGCGCCGCCGGATCTGGCCCACCGCGCTTCGGCGCGACACGCTATCCACGGCCTGGTCTCCAGGCGTCAACGTTCCAAGCTTTTCCCATCTGCCCGTCCCACGAGGCGGAGCGACACGCTATGCGCTCGCAGGGCACAGCGTGTCGCCGGGGCCGCCGCCGCCGCGACACGTTAAGCAACAGTTCCCGGCCGTATCCCCAGACATGTTTGCGTCGCTTGGCGTTGTAAACGAATCACGGCGAGAGCTGTTTGCCACTCTTCTCGGCCTCTGGGAGCCCTCGCCGGGCCTCGGGACCTTGAAAAACGGCCGTGAGTGAAAAGCTGGCCCTGGAGACAGACTCGCGACGTCCGTGGTCCGTGGGCCGCGTATTGAAAGCAGAGACTGCCGCATGCCTGCGTCCCGAACCACCGCCTAGGGGTTGGAGCCCGGGGCCTGAGGTGGCCCAGCACCTGGCCCGGCCCGCAGAGAGCGGGGAGAACGGGGCCCCTTTGGTCGCCACGGCGGGATGCTGCTCGAAAGGCCCCTCCAGTCTCGACTCCCATAGGAGGCTTCTGGGGACTGGCTTTGAGCGTATCTGCCGGAATCCCCCCCTCTTGACCGGCTCTCTCTGGGCTCTGGGCTCATGATCCAGCTCAGATTCCGGGCGCCTCCAGCCTGGAGGACTGCTCTTCGAAGATCTCGGCAGGCGGCGGATGTGGAGACACTCGAGGCCCCAGAGGCCCAAGGATAGCCCTATCCACCCCTCCCTGCACAGGCTCCGGAGGCGGTGGATCTGCGGGAATCCCCACCTCGCGGACATCTCGGCCACGCGCAGAGAGGGGGAGGGGGAGGGGGGAAGGCTTCTTCGAAGCACCCTGCTTTAGGCTTCAAGAGTCCTTCGGATGGTCTGAAGCAAAAAGTATGGATGGATTTTCTTGGACAAGAAGTTGAACAACGAATATTCTCCTTCGAGAAGAAGATCAGATTATCATTGCTATTGGAGGATTCCTCCGCGCGTGACAGAGCGAATGAATCGCCGAACGTGCCTGCCCGAACGTCCGCCGACGTTCTGGCTCAAGTTTTTCTCTGGCTGGAAGGAGGCAGACACCGGGCGCGCCGGTGCATGCATCATCTGCTCTTCGGTGTGGCCAGGGCAGGCGTTGCTGCCTTCGCGTCCGACGCAGTCTCGAACGCAGCCAACTGGGACTTCCGAGTCTCAGAAGCCCAGACCGCGTGCCGCCCCGCTTCGACGTTGAAGGGCCGACATTGGCTGGGTGAACAGGGGTGACGCTGGATAGGCGGGTCAACCACTTTTGAGGTTGTTGTGTCGAAGGTTGGCCGTGCGGAACGAATGCGAAGGCGAGGTCGCAAGTCGGGCCTTGCCCTTGGCCCTTGGCGCGAGCGCATCTCGATTGTAAGCTTTCAGCAACTAGGGCCCCCAAGAGCGTTCCGTATTGGTTTGTCGCACTCCAGCTTACCACGTAGGTGCTCAAGTAGTTGTTGGGTTGTTGGTCAGACAACATGTTGTTTCTATTTGCTTCAAAAACCCAAAAACTATTTCAGCAATTGCGAGTCCACCCTGAGCGTCGAGGAACAAGGCCAGACGCCCCTGGGGGTCGCAGTTGCTGTACATTTGCATGTCCAAACGCTCCACGTGGCACCGCTGCGCATCGGATGATAGAGGTTCCGCCGCCCTTGGCGGGTCGCGCCGGCGCGAGCGGCAGCCCCGGCACTGTCCGTTCTGGCCGTGCCGGCGCTGCGGGGGGCCATCCAAGCCGAGGGCCTCAAGGGTCCCGCAGGCGCCTGGAGCCCAGGCGGCACGCGGAGAAAAGTTGAGCAGGGGGACGAAGGAAGGGAGAGGTTCAGGCAATGCGCGGGTGAAGCGCAGCGAAGGACATTGGCAATGAGGAATTCTAGACGCTTCGCGTATCCCCACCAGCTTCCTACCGCGACCTTGGATCAGTGGCTTTGTGGGACTTGCCTGGGTATACACAGTCTCGTTCCGCCTGTGCTCTCCGCCTCATTGGACTGCACTGTGACACTGTGCTGTGCACACGCCGCGTTTCGACGGGAGCGTGCATTCGGTGCCCTTCCACCCGTTGGGTCTGGGCCGATACGTCTTGGTGTGGTTGTCTTTTCGGAACATGGATACACCTTGATGTCGCTGACGCCGCGGCTCGCTGCCGCCGTCGGGATCCTCGTTGGACTTACCACCCCGACCTCTGTGTTACCCGACAGGCTGGGGCTTGGCGTCCACGGCCGTTCCCTTGTCCGCTCTTGGACGTTGGAACGTTTTCGCGCCATTTTGGCTGCGCTTGGTGGTCTCAGTGCCTACCTCAGGCCTGTTGGACGCACCTGCATGCCCGTTCAGGGGCTGTCATGGCACCTGGATTGCATCGTCTTCCCTGGACGCTGTCGTGAGCCGCCCGATCCGCGGCCCTGCGCGCGTTAGGTAATTTAGTCGCGTCCGCGGCCCGTTCGCGACCTTCCGCCGCTGGCGCTTCCGCCTGCGGCTGTAAAAAAAAAGTATCGCCACCAGCCCGTCCAGAAACGACGCCCAGGCGAGTAGAGGGTCGTCCTGAGGGGCTTTTCGGCGTCTTGGGTGCCTCGGGGGGGCCTCTGTGGGCCGTTCGGGATCCTCTTTGGGGCCTCCTGGGGGCCTCTTGGGGCCTCTTGGGGCCATCTTGGGGCCTTTGGGGGCCTCCTGGGCGCTTCTTGGGGCCTCCTGGGCGCTTCTTGGGTGCCTCTGGGGGGTCTCTTGGGGCCTCTTGGGGGTCTCTTGGGGGCCTCCTGGGGGCCTCTTGGGGGGCCTCGGAGCCATCTTGGAGGAGATCGATCAACGAAGGGGGGTTCCCTAATTACAGTCCCCCCCTCAGGAGCCACGATCCTCGTGAGGGGTGTCGAATTTTAGCCCTCCCAGGGGTCGAACTTGGGCGCTCCAACGCGCCGCGGAACCCCCTGTCCAGCTCAGCGGGGAGGGGGTAGGGGGAGGGATAAACCCCTCCCCGAAGGGGAAGAAGGAGGGGTGGAAGAGGAAACGCTCTAAACCACCGACGCCCAGAGGGCTGGTGGGATTTCGAGGCGAGCTACGCTCGACACAACTGACTTCAAAACTGTGTCATGCAGTTCCCTTGTCGATGTGATGCCCTGGGTTGGAGTGGCAGTGCGCGTAAGGCACTTGTTTACGCCGCCTTCCAATGTCGGTCTACGTGGAACTTCCGAGTCGCACCCGCCCAGACCGCGTTCCGCTCTGCTTCGGCATTGAAGGGGACGACCTCGAATGGGTGAAAAGGGGCGATACTGAATCGTCGCGCGAACCACTTAGGAAGTTAATTCGGTCGAGGGTTGTAGCTCGACGCACCCCCCCAATAGCATTCGAAACCGCCTCTCGGAGCCCTCTTGGGGCGCTCTTTGGCGCTCTTGGCGCCGTCATGGGGGCCTCTTGGGTCCCTCTTGGGGTTTCCTTGGGCCATATTAGGGCCACCTATAGGATTCAAATACCAATCGGAAGCGAAAAGGCAAGACGGCGGAATTCATGGATTTTCTTGGGATGGTTGAGCGATGTTGGCTTCTCAGGGAGGTCATGGGAGGGCTCCGAGAGCACTTGGGGCCGTCATTGACCCGTTTGGGGGGGCCTCCTGGAGCATGTTCGATGGCATCCTGAAACGTCGTCGGTTGTCTTGAGCATCTCGGAGCATCGGAGGCCCTTTTCGGAACCATCTTGGACGAGGGTCCTCTGACACGCAAAAAACTCAGGGAGAGGCTGGGGAAGGGTACCCCTCCCCGAAGGGAAGAGGGTTTTGGACGAGAGGGAACATCCTTAGACCACCTACGCTCGAGGAGGAGTCTGGTCGCGGCGGCGAGAAACCTCTTGGAGGCCCCCCAAGCAAAAGCGAGGCACGCCTTCGGGCCTTGAACTTTGATCCTTTTTCCTTCTATTCCCCCTCCCCCCGAAGCTCCATTTCTCGAGCCCTCGAAGCTCGAGCCTTGGGCCCCCTCCGGAATCGACCCCCGAGCCTCCTCTGGGGCGCGGTCCGGCCATGACCTCGAGAGAGGAGTTCCGCCGCGGCGACGAGAGGCCGCCCGCAGGCCTAACTTCGGAGGGGTGGGGGGGGAGCGGGGGGAACGCCCCGAAGACCTGCACTTCGGACAGCCAGGGGGGGTCTCAGGCCTGGGCCCCTCCCAACGACCCTCGAACTCCTCGACCCTCGAAAACATGTATATCGGCCCTCGAGCGTCGATCCTCCTCCTCTCCCTTCTCCACCTCTTCCCCCTCCGGTTCCTCCACCACCTCTTCCCCCTCCAGCTCCTCCTCCTCCTCCTCCTCCGCCTCCTCCTCTTCCTCCTCCGCTTTCTCCTACTCCTCCTCCTCCGCCTCCGCCTCCGCCTCCGCCTCCTCCTCCTCCGCCTCCTCCTCCTCCTCCTCCTCCCCCTCCTCCTCCTCCTCCTCCTCCTCCTCCTCCTCCTCCTCCTCCTCCTCCTCCTCCTCCTCCTCCTCCTCCCTCTCCTCCTTTTCCTCCCCCATCCACCCATTCCCCCTCCAGCTCTTCCTTCCCCCCTCCTCCACCTCTTTCCCTTCCACCTTGCCCCCTCCACCTCTTCCCCCTTCAGGTCCGCCTGCGCTTCCTCCTCCTCCTCCTCCTCCTCCTCCTCCTCCTCCTCCTCCTCCTCCTCCTCCTCGGGAGCATGTGTTCGATCCTCGAAATTCGATGCCCCCCCCTCGCGGGAACCGCCCGCCGAGGTGCCAGGTCTTGGAGACCAGGCGCAGCCACGAGTGCTCCCAACCAGCGGGCTCCAGCATGACCATCGACCGCGCGCTCGCCAGGAGCCGAGTCGCCGTCGCCGCCGACGCCGTCCTCGTAGCAGTCGCTGTCGCTGCCGCCGCCGTCGTCGTCGCTGCTGGCGGCGGCGGTGGCGGCGCCGCCGTCATCGTCATCGTCGTCGTCGTCGTCGTCGTCGTTGTCGCAGCCGCGGTTGCTGTCGCAGCCGCCGCCGCCGCCGTCGGTGGCGGCGGTGCCCTCCGAGGCGCCCGCTGGGAGGTTTTCTTCTTTTCTTTCTGTTTCGCCGCGCGCCAAGGGCGCGGGTGACGCAAGAGTCAGGGGGGGCCTAACCGACCCCTATCAAACCATCCCTTTTTCATGACGTTCCCCTCGCCTCGCCCCAAGAAGCATGTATGCGGCCGGAGGGGAACTCGAAAGACGTAGGTGACGTCACGGAGGGGGGTGGCTTGCCAGTGGTCGGTTAGGCCGCGCCCGAAAGAACCGCGACCGGGCCTCTCGAATCCACTCTCCCCTGATATCCGGGCCTCTCGTTTTTTTCCGAGCCGTGCGGGTTCGCCCAGACTCGGGCCCCTGGACCTTCACGGATCGACCCGGCTCGACAAACGACGTCCCTCTGGGCAGTCGAAAAACAGAACAGGCGCGACGCGCAGCCACGGGCGCACGCCAAGGTGCCGGGCAGTCCGGGGCCTCCGGGAGCTGAGCGAGGCGCTGCGCCGCGAGGCACGCGAAGTCGGCAGCGCGGCCCCCTGGCGAAGCGCACCCCGCCCACAAGGAGCGTCGCCTGCCCGCGCTCGGAAAGAGGGGGTCCGAGGCTCCCCTGGCGGTTTTCCAAAGTGTCTCAACTCGGGAGCCGTCGGATCTCAGGGCCAGGCGTGATTTGCGACACTGGATCACCGGGAGGCCCTGGCGAGCCGCAGCGGAGCACAGAGCGCGCTGCGATTCACGCCGACGCCCGAGTGCGAGGGACTCGAAACTGAAAAAGCAGCGCAAGCACAAGATTCCGACAGCTTATGCTTATGCAGTGGACTCTTCGTCTAAGGAACGTCGACGCCCGAGGAGCGTGTTTTTTCTTGGATCAGGCGATCGATAGCCCGAGCGATCGGGCCCGCCCGCCCCCCCACCCACCCCCAGTAATGTCGGTTGCGCAGGTCCGGAGGGGTTGCGCAGTTCGCGGGCATACGCGGGGCTGCCCAGAGCGAAAAGGTGGGGTTCTCGGCCGGCACCTCCCCCCCCCCCACTCTCGGGCCGGACGAAAGGGGGGGATTGGGAAAGGGGGGGGTTCGAAATCTGCTGCATGCAGCTGGTTTCGGCCCCACCGAGGGGCCCATTCTTCGATACATGGGCGCCTCCCAGCGCCGGGAGGCGCCGGGAAAATAAGCTACGTGAGCTGATTCTCAACCCCCCCCTTTGCTATCCCCCCCTTTCGCCCGACCCGACACTCTCCACCCCGGATAGTACGCGTAACGATCTCGAGTGCGAGGGAAGACCATCGGTCTGTGGCTGTACTTTGGCCACAGTGAGCCGATCGGGGCGACTTTGGCGTCCACGGGTGGACTCAATGCGGCGCTCGCGCTCCGCGGTCCCGCAGACTCCCGCGAGCCTTCGCAAATCCTTTTGGAAGCTCCGATCACCTCGTTGGTTCGACAGTGCGCAGAAAGGGATGGGACAACGGGGGGGTCTCTTCATGTCTTTCTAGAACCCAAGTGTCCACCGTAATTATCTCATCACAGAGATCACGATACGGCATGTCTGTCCTCGCCATGTCTGTCCTCTGGATGCCGTTTTTTGACAACTGGGCTGCCGGAAAACTATCCAGGGTGAAAGATCTGTCCCGTGGAAGGGGTCGAGAGGTCTGGGAGCCCGTGTCTCGGAGGAGCCGAGCCGCCGGATGTCAGGGAAGGCGTGGGGGTTCCGAGGCCCTCCATGGCTCTTCCAGGAAGCCCCCTTTTGTGTTTTGGAAGGCCCCCCCTCGCCCCGCCCCGGTTTTTTCGCGCCGCAGGTTGGGCGTCATGTCAAGCGTGGCGGACTATTCGGACCGTCGCGCGTGGGCTGCCCGCGTAGGGTCGCGCGTGGGCGCCATGTTCTTCCACGCGGCGTGCCGCGTTGGCGGCCTGCATCAGTAAGCTTTCGCGTAAAGGGGCGCCCTGTCCAGTCGCGACGGGTCCCCTGTTCTTCGTCGCTGAGATCCCCTCCGCCACCCGAGGAATCGACGTCCCAGGACAACAGGGGGCAGTAGATGGGGATCGTATCGGGGGACACTGGGGGGCCCAAAGGCATCCACAGTCCCTCCCAGGATGCTGGGACACCTGGTCCCAAGGCTTTACCTCGTGGGCCTCGGCTCACCTCGCCATCATCACCGTCCCGAGGTTGTGGACACGCAGCTTCTCAGAGGCCTCTTGGGCCTCTTGACAGGCCTGCTGGAGTCCTCTCTGGGACCTCTTGAGTTAAGATGCAACGCCTGGCGCTGGTATACCCGTGGTCGACAGCTGGCACATTCAGTTTTAATCCCGCTTATATAAACCTGCTTAATCCGGCTTAGTCCTGGGAGTTATCCAGGCTGCCCTGGCTCAGTTGCCGTTGAATCTGGCTTCGTGGCCCGTATGCTTTCTCACGAAGACACCACACAAGGTGCCACCTAACCGAGGGGCCGTTTGAAGGCCTCTTAGGGGGCCTCCTGGGGCCTTCTTTGGGGGGCCTGGAGGCAGCAGATTCTTTGATATGGACGAATCCTGGCAGGAACCTCACGCACCACCTCGTCCGCGAGGTGGCGAGGCTCGTCGGGGAGGACCCACGGCAGCAGGCGGTCTGCGACGTCCTGGTCGAGCTGGCGCCGATGTACCCAGACGTGGTCCTGAGCGGCGTCCCGACCCCGGCGGGCCGACGGTGGGCTTTGCTCGGGGCTCAGGGCAGTGCCAAGGGAGGTCACCATTGGGGGGGTTACCAGTTCCCTTTGCGCACTGAGGCTCCGGAATGGAAGGGCGAGGAGTTTTTGGGACGTTTGGGGTCGTTTTGGGGGGCTCTGGAGCGCGCTTGGGGTTCCATTGTCTAGAGGAGGTGGCGTTTCCGCGAGGAAGTGGCGACCTCTCTTATGGTGATCCCCCTTGGCATTGCTTGCGGGACGCACGAGATCTCCTTGCTGTATCCAAGCCCTGACACATCCGATGTCTGGATTTTTCCACTGCGCGGTCCCCAGAAGTCACGACTTGTTCCCTTGCAGAGCCGCTTCTTCCTCCCGAGTTTCTTGACAGCCCCGGGGCCCGGCGAGGGCGCCCTGGGGCCGAAATCTGGCGAAGCCTTCCCGCCGCGATGCTTGCCACGACGCGAGCACTTCTGGGAAGAGATCCGAGGTCATCTGGGCGCCGTTGTTTGCAGCTGGCCAGGGTTCTCGCGGATCCTCGGCTGTCCCGGGTTGGCGCCGACCTGGCGGGCTGGCGCGCCCCCGATGTGCGGGTTCGCGGCCGAGGTACGTTGGCCCTCGCCGGGCACGGAGGACTATCGAACATCTGGTCTTCTTGGCCCGAGGGAGATCTGGGATCGAGACTACACTGGGCGTTTCTGGCTTTCAGGCCTCCAGAGGCCTCTCAAACATGCCGGGGCCTCAGAGGCTGATTGTGGGCCTTGGCGGAGTCGCAGTCCTTCCGTGGTGGACGGGAGGGGGACATGAAAACTGTTGTATGCGACCGGTTGCGGTCCCGCCGCTGGGCACGTGCCCCTTACCTGCCCGAAACAGGCCTCGGCGCCGATCTTTGAGGATTCCCTGGATTCCCGCAGTTTCTGCGGGCGCATCCCTAAGCCCTAAGATTGTCATCGCTTTGGCCTTGCGCCGAGCTTAGGTGTAGGGATACGCTCGATGCCGGTTATGCCCGAGACGCAGCCACCGCCGGCGCCTCTGGGGGCCGGGACACCCGGCTGCCTGCACGCCCCCTTCTGCCAACCTCCTGACGTGCTGTTCCACTTGCCAGTTGCAGCGCGTCGGCGCGCCAGAGGGGGAAACACGTGCGTGCCGCCCGCGCGTGCGCTGCGGGCGCCTTTCGGCGCGTCGCCGCGCGCGCGTCCGTGTGTGTGTGTGTGTGTTTGTGTGTGTGTGTGCGTGCGTGCGTGCGTGCGTGCGTGCGTGTGTGTGTGTGTGTGTGTGTGTGTGTTTGTGTGTGCGTGTGTGTGTGTGTATGTATGTGCGCGTGTGTGTGTGTGTGTGTGCGCGTGTGCGTGTGCGTGTGCGTGTGTGTGTGTGTGTGTGTGTGTGTGTGTGTGTGTGTCTGTGTCTGTGTCTGTGTCTGTGTCTGTGTCTGTGCATCTTGGCCTCCTCCATGGGGTCGGAGTAGGTAGAGTCGGAGGATCGCGCCGAATCGCCGATGCATCGCCGGTGGGGCTCGATGTGTAGCCCGATCTGCTTCACGTCGACGTCGACGATGCATCGCCCACGTCGACGACGTATTGCCGATATATCAGTGATGTGAGGCCTCTGGTGCCGTGACTCGTTGTCTACTGTTTGGAACTGGCCCACTCCCCTTCGCCGCCTGCTCGCTGCCGCGCGTGGCCTCCTCACTGCGCACCCACTTGCCTGCCACGCTGGACTGCTCCATCCACGTGGCCCATGCCCCAGTAGCTTGACATGGTCGTTCCTGTTTGGATCCCTGCCCCACCTTTCTGAGGGGCTGGCCCCGCGCGCTCTCCAGTTACTTGGGGACTTACTCCGTCTCGTCGCTGCGCGCGTGGCCGCGATCGCCAAAAAGCGTGTGTGTGTGTTTGTGTGTGTTTGTGTGTGTGTGTGTGTGCGTGTGTGCGTGTGTGTGTGTGTGCGTGTGTGTGTGTTTGTGTGTGTGAATGTGTTTGTGTGTGTTTGTCGGCACTGCGCGTGCCTGCTGTTTTTTGCGCACGCCTCCCTCTCTGCATGCGCAACCGTTTTGGCGGCTGCATTCCCATTGACACATGTTCGGTGGTAATCAATGGTTAGCGCGTTTCGCTATTCCCCTCGCTGAGTTGGACCAAATTGCCTTGGAGTAGTGTGCGCGTGTGTGTGTGTGTGGGTGTGTGTTTGTGTGTGTCTCACGTCTCTGGGCCACGTCCGCCTGGCCAGGGCCTGTGGTCGGTGCGCTCTCTGCGCCCCTGCACCCGCCACCCACCGACGTGTTCTTCAGTCCTTGCGTCCGCCGACAGTGCAGGTCTGAGCGCTCTGCAGTCACTATCCCCGGCATGCGGGGGTTTTCTTTGAACGTTGCATGCTGGTGTTCTCGTTTGTGCTCGCCTAGCGCAGCTAATGTTCACGTTTTCTTCGCACGTGACTTGCCCTGCGTTGTCCACCGACCTGCATCGTCAAGTGACGCCAACCGTGGCCCGCCTTAGGTCTCGCTGCAGTGATGTCACCCGGCCGCTGGATGGCAAAGTGTCCATGTGTGTGTGATTGTGCATGGTTGTGTGAGTCTACTCCTCGCCGGCCTCACGGTAGAAAAGGCGTTACGCGGAGCGAGCGCTCGCCGAGGCAAAGGGTGCTTGCTTGTGTGCGTATGTTCTTGCTTCGCGTGGCCTTTCTGCTCCGACTCCAGGCCTCTTCCGAGTTCGTTATGCGAATCATCCGCGCAGCCTCGCATGGGGGCATATTCTGTATGCGCACCTGCCGCCTTGCTGTGCTTAGCGCGGATTGGAGTCATTGGCACGTCGGGGTATAAATTGTATGTGTGTGCGTGTCTGTGCGACTCGTCTCGCCGATTTTCTGACTGCCTGCGCCGCGTCTCTGCGCGCTTCACCTCAACGCCACAAATTGTGTGTGTGTGGGTCTGCGTCTGTGTATCGCTTGTGGCTCGCCTTGCGTCGTCCTTCGACCTGCAGCGTCAGGTGGAATTTGCGCTAAGCTTGCCCCGCATCAGCTCTCGCTGCTGTGACGTCACTCAGTCGCTGGAGCAATCAGGCTGTGTGTCGGCCTGCGTCGGATTGCCCTGGGGTTTTCCACCAGTTTCGCACACGCCGCCACACAGGGTGGTCCATTCGCTCGGAATGTGGCCCGTCTTCGCTGCATCGGGAGTTGCTTCACCACCGCGTCGTTGGAGGGATCAGTGTATGCGCATGTGTGTGCGCGTGTGTGTCTTTTTGACTTGTTCTACGCCGCGCCGCCGCACGCGTGGCTGCGACGCCCATCAAGAAAAGTGTGTGTGCGTGTGTGCGTGTGGGTTTTTGTATATGTGTGTGCGCGCGTGCCTGTAGACAACCGCCAGCCCAACAATTGCAGACGTGGTTGCCTTCTCCTTCCCCCCCTTTCTCCTCTACACGCTTGGTGTCCGTAGCCATTTTGGCTCAATTTCGAAACGCTCCCCTGGCGCTTCGAGCTTGTCGCTGCTGAGGGGGTGGCTCAGGGCTCTCTTTTCTTGCGAGGACAGGCCTCGCGGCATCGGAGCTTCAGTGCCCGTGCCTTGTGGTTTTTGTTCATCCGCGCTGCTCAGTGCAGCCCAGTGTTTCGAACCATTCCCACTCAGTCTCGCTGGCCACTCGCGGCATGTCGGGCGGCACGCCAAGGCGCTGGGTGGTTTGTCAGAACTGTGGTCCTCGCAGCTGGGTTTATAATGATAGCGGCATCCGCCAGTGCAAGTATGGCGGGGGCAAATTCCAGCCGCCCAATGGACGGCCCACGAAGAGAGGCAAGGGCGAGGACATTCCTGGGGCGGCCAGTTCGTCCAATCACGGGCAGCAGGCTCATAGCCAGAACCAGAGCGACCTTTTCAAGTACTGCCGGAACCGCTACGGAATGGTCAGTGCCCCACGACGTCCCAAGCCCGACGAAGCTGATGATGAGAAGCCTAAGGCCCCTCACGACGACAAGATCCAGGGACAGATCGAAGCGCTCGAGAAATACGTCGCCACTGCCGACTCGGTCACCAACGAAGTGCCCCTGGACACCAGCAGCCGATTGCATAATCCAAGCAGAAACCGGCCGGCAATCTCAAGGAGCAGGCCGCCGTCAACCTTCCCCATCAAGATCAGGTTCAGAGAGCCACCATTCGCCTTCAACGAGCAGCAGAGAAGGTCACAAATATTCGCAAACAGCTGGATGAGAACATTGAGTACATCAACCAATGGAGCAGCTCCTCGAGACCATGCGAGAAGACGGCACCACCTTGCATCAACGTCTCGAGGAGGCCGAGAAGCAACACGAAGCATAACAGGAGCAGCAGTCGCAGATATGGGCGTCCACGGTAAGAGCTCACCTCGGCGATTTGCAGGTTTTCAAGATCTCGCTCGAGACGCTGGCCTCGATGGCTCCGCAGGGCAGCGAGATTGCTAAGCTCATGGCCACTGGACGACAGCTGGTCATTAATCTCGAGCAGGTTGCAGGAGGAGACGACAGCATGGGAGGTGAAGAACACCCAGTGCATGATAGTATTGTCAGACAGCAAATCGAAACATTGGAAGCTTTCATCCCCAACGACAAGCGGGCAGAGTGGGACGCGCAGAAGGCGCAGGTCGGCAAGGCCACCGTGCATCCGCCAGTGCAGCTGCCCATGCCTGCCGCTGCGTCCGATTCGTCAGCGCCAGCGGGTCCGTCGGCTCCAGGACCGCCGCAGGAGCTTGCCATCGCCATGAAACCAGCGGCGCCAGCACCACCCGTTCCAGGATCAGCTCCAGCACGCGAGCCACGCGAGCAAGGTGCTGGGCGCGGCAAAGGGGCCCGCGCTGAACATGGAGAGGATTGCGGAGATCGTGGTTCTCTTTGTCCCCGTACGCTGCAGCGCGCAGCAGGAGCAGGTGGCACAGCTGAAGCTACTCCAGCAGCTGCGGCAGATGCAGCTGGGCCCAGGCCTCGAGGGTCGCCCATGCTTTTTCCGGCCTCTGCAGAACAGCGCTTGCAGCAGGCTGCCATGCGAACCCTAG